GTTTGAAAAGACCCTTGTGATAGTTTATCGCCAATCATTTCTAAATGCCATTAATACGAGACGCAAGCATTTTTTTACGTTTGAAAACATTTTCAAAGGTTTCTTTGTTCTAGGTTGACAGAGTAGCAGCCAAGGTACCCGTGTTTTCCATCATTGCCTTTCCTGGGTCCCAGGTGTTCGCCACAACATTATGAATATGTGCATGTGTGAGCCAAGCCGCCTGGAAGACAAAAGGAGCCGCCTTCCGCCGGCTATTGTCCCCGTTCAGACGAACGAGGAGGGGTGCATGGTCCAAGGAGAAGCGGGCGAAGTGAATAACGGACGCCTCTGGAAACCGCACTCTCCATTCTGTGCTACACAAGGCCCGGTCTAAACGGGCGCCCTTAATAAAATCACTGTTTCCATCCTTCACCCAAGTCAGCTTTGGCCCTGAAAACCCCATATCAACCAGGCCTTCTTCTATAATCCAATGTGCAAAATCCAAGCTCCTGCAAGAAGAAAAAGAAGAATAATTACTCGTTTCACCCTTTGATAAAACTGAATTGAAGTCCCCGGCTGCAATCCAGGGCCCGACAATCCCACATGTTGATCGCCTTAGGTCCTGCCATAGGCGCCTTCGTAGATGGTGCGTAGGGCTACCATAAACTGCCGCAAGCCACCACGGAGGCTGATTGTTCTCCTCCACCTGTAACAAAACAAATTGGGGGTGAGTATACGAGACCGTGACCCGTAGCGGGTTCTCCCAGAAGATCCATATGCCTCCACTGTAACCAACTACCTCCACTCTAATCCAATCCGAAAAGCCAAACTTCTTGCAAATAGAATTTGCATGATCTCCGGAGACCTTAGGTTCAAAAAGTCCTAGAATCTTTGGCCTATGTGACTTTAGAAGAAATTTGAGGGTGCGCAGGAACGGCTTACCACCTGCACCCTGGCAATTCCAGAATAGGCAGTTCATGGATAAAACAAAAAGAGAAAGAGAGGGGAGAGCAAAAAACTCAAAAACACAAACAGAAAAAACATAATGACAAAACAAATCGCGGGGGAGCCTATTAGGCTTCCCCGTTACCTCCCTCCACATGTTGCTCGTCAATGTTCATCACCGCATCATCCTCGTCATCAAAGACCTCCGGTGGATCTCCGAAGTGCTCCCCAGTATCCTGCCAAACCGGGGACGGCAGTACATCTCCAGTATCGCCGGCGTACACACGCGAAGAATGTATCACTAGGCCTCCTCACTCGCCCCGGACTACCACGTGCTCCGTCTCTTCTGTCGCTCGTCTTGGTCTCTCCCCCACCATCCTCCTTGTCCCCACCCCACTTGGCGTTGCATTTGGTCTTGGTTCGCGTGCCGACGTAGGATCATTCACGATCTGTTTCTCAAGCGCTATTACATTCGACCTGCGATTATTAGCATCTCTCTGTTCCGGAGCGTATAGCGAGCGTGACAACACTATATTTTCCACAGCAGTCGTATGAATCACCCGATCCCCTTCTGCCCTTTCTGTGGCCTCTGGCACTTCTCCGACAACAGCCACATCTTCCTCCTCCGTTGTCAGAGGCGTAAACCTAGACGCGTTCACCGCCCTTCCCTGTCCGCCTGCGCTTCCTCCACCTCGGTCACTGCCTCCCTTCGATACTCTGGGCAGACCTGTTGCCGACGGTCTGCCTCGTCGCTGAGGAGCGATCATCCATGATCCAAAAGGTATCTTTGGATCTTCAGCCTCCTTCAAACCCGCCTGTCGACCATCCGTATGTGCTTGACCTGGAATGTCAGTTTCAGCATCTGCCTCTATATCTTTCTCCGGTCCTGTATTCTTCAGCGAAGGGCAGTTTTCTTTTGCATGTCCATAGCGTCCGCATGAGAAGCAAATCAGATGGAGACCTTCGTAGGCCACATGTCTCACTTTCCCTTCATAGTTAAATTTTGAAAAGATAGGTTTGTGCATATCAATCTCTACACATATTCTTGCAAACATACCTCTAAATCCCATGCTAGTAGCCTGATCCACACGTACTGCCCTTCCAATCCTTCTCCCCAGCTTCCGGAGGAAGATGTAGTCATAATACTCTATAGGGATACACGGGATTCTTTCCCACACTATCATCTTCTCCGTCTTGTCGTTCATTGGATCGAAGTCGGGTTCCCACGACTTCACAATAAGGTAATGGTCTAGGACCAGCCAAGGCCCTTCAAACAAAGCAAACTCTAAATCATCAATGGATCCAAACCTTACCAGGAAATATTCATTCGGTAGTGCAATCAGATCCATGCTGCTCTTTGGTTTCCACATCGATGTAAGCCTCCGGAGCATGTACGCATATCCTACGCTTCTCCCCATCACCTTGATTATCAGCGACTTCCTCCACGGCGCTCGGATCTTCTCCACCTCCTCCTTTGTCAGGCGAATGGTGGGGCAAAGGGGATCATCATCTTCCTCTTCTACCAGAGTCTCGTGGTCTGGCCCTGCTTCCACATGGTCGTCCAATCTGGTTGGATCACATGCGGCCCTTCCTATCAGACTCTCCACATACGATCGTCTCTGTCGTTCCGGTGGACGTGGTGTTTCCTGTTGAGTTGGCGAACATATCTCCATGCATGGTTCCATCGCGGGATCAGAACAGTGTCAGCCCTCATGCCATCTTCCGACGTCTCTTGCACTATCACAATCTCCTGGCTCAGCAACGGTGGGTAATCTGCATTCGCCATCTCCCGTTTGGATTTCTTGGTGCTACGCTCTAAGAGATCCAGATCTTCGGATGAGCGAGGTGACGAGAGCGTTTCCTGAGATTCCATCCAGTTACCTTATATTACTTCGTGCCCTCATTATATATAGACGGACAGAACCGGGTTAATATAATATTTTGACAGTAATATATTCGAATATAATTTTGTATATGAAAAAAAATTTAACTGTGTTAATAAATCTGGAAAAATATATTAAATGGGAAATTACGCTATAGCAAATTTTATATTATATTTATATAAGTTATAATTCATGTAATTATTCCATCCATTTTTTTTTAGTTTTATGGTTATCAATATTTAAAATTTCTTAGTTTTATATTTATACAAGTTCAAATTTTTTTAGTTTTAAGTTATAATTTATTAAATTATTTCATCTAATTGTTGGACTTTTTTTTTTTTTCTAAAAAAAAAAATCAGTATTTAAGCATGGTTAGTGATATATAGATATCTTTTGGGTTAGTTATTCACACTCAATTAACAGATAGCCGAAGGAGCATGGAATGCCTCAGAAAGAAGAAAACTTAGAGAGATTATCGGCAAGCGTATTTGAGTGAGAAGCTGCGCAATAATAATAGATTAGGGTTAGGGATTTGCAGATTTGAGAAGCTGTACAATAGTAATGGGTCAGGGGTTTGTTATTTGGGTTTTGTTTTGTTTTTTTGCGCAAATTATGCCGTGCAACCGTGTGCACCATGCATGGTGCACACGGTTGCAAAAATGGCGTTGTTTTGATTAAAAATGCGTGTCCGACTTTAAAAAAAAAAAAAATCAATTTCGATTGTTGTTAACGGCGTTATGTTGCATAATTTGAACTATATATCCAGAATTAATGAACTATATATCCCGAATTAATGAACTATATATCCAGAATGAATGAAATATATATCCAGAATGAATGAAATATATATCCAGAATGAATGAACTATATAGTTTAAATTATGCACAACATAACGTCGTTGACGACAATCGAAACTATATTTTTTTTTAAGGCGACGTCAAAACGATGTCGTTTTTGCAACATGGTGCACACGGTTGCACAGCATAACGCTCCGTGTTTTTGGTTTTGGGCCGATTTTTTGCAAGATGAATAAAGACTTTGATTTTAAGATATGTACTAACTTTTTAATAATTTGTAATTTTGATTAGTATTTTAATAATTTTTTTAAATAATTTGTAATTTTGATTAGTTTGATTTATTATTACTAATTTAACTTTTTATAGTCAAAATAACGATTGATATGAGACCATAACATTTATACTTAAATTTTTCATACCGTGCAGCGCACGGGTAAAATACTAGTACTAATATATAATGGAAAAATTTGTAATTTATGCCCCTTCATAATATGTCAATTATCAATGTCACTCCTAAATTATTAGTGGTGTAAATGTTGCCCCTCAATTTTTAAAACGGTACATATATTACCCCTCCCGTACTGTACGAGGGCAAAATTGATGTGCAACATTTATACTATGGAAGAGGCAATATATGTACCATTTTAAAAATTGAGGGGCAACATTTACACCATAAATAATTCAAAATTGACATTGGTAATTGACATATTATGAAGAGACATAAATTACAATTTTCCTTATATAATGTCATAAACATTTTATAATGAACACAAATACATAAATACAATATAATATACAAATATTTACAACATAACCAACTAATAAAAAAAAATACACATCTAGGATGAAGCATTCTATTTGCAAAATACTAATCCAAAAAAACAACATTAAACAAAGGAAAAATTGTAAATTATATCCCTTATCAATATCATGTTTAAATTATTAGTGGTGTAAATGTTGCCCTTTTATTTTTCAAAACATGACATATATTGCCTCTCCCCTGAATTATTGATGGTGTAAATGTAGTTACCCGTCTTTTCCCCTATTCAAGAACCACAATTTCTTTACTCAATTTTTCTTTATTTATTTGTTCTCCTTCCGTCGACAACAATATTTCTCCTTCTTTCTATTAGGGGAGGGGTAATATACGTCATGTTTTGAAAATTGAGGGGCAACATTTACACCAATAATAGTTCATAGGTGACATTAATAATTGGCATATTTGTGAGCGACATAAAGTACAATTTTCTCTTAAATGAATTAAAATAAAACAAATCATGATACAAATTATAATAAAAATCTAAGCATAACAATAAATAATATATTAATCTGCAGTAAGAAATAAAGTTCATTAGGCCATGGACTATGCTATCAGCATAATTATCCTTGCGAATACTTTAGGAATTAAAACTGAACAACTTGAATAATTAGGGACAAAAAGTACTTTTTTTTCCCTGAACTTTGAAATAATATTGATTCCCTTCTATATCCACATTTTCTACTCTGCCTACCATGTATGGGAATAATTGTGTTCTCCAAAGCATCCAAAAACTGTTTATGCATTCTACAGTTCCACCCTATCCACTGGAAAGAAACACAGACTGCAAACTTAACACTGCATCTACTCTAGAGGCTCAGGATGGATCTTGTTTAAGAGTAACTTTAATTTACAAAAAGATGTAAATAAAAAAGGAGACTATAACTGCAAATGTCCATGTACAATTGCAATATTTTTACAAGTAGCCTCAAAAATTTGCAGCAGCTGAGATTTATGTCAACATGCAGAGATCTTAGCAAGCATAATAAATGAGAGAGAGATGATTTCAGGTGATGGAGCTTCGATTCAAAGGTGGGAAAATCTTCTGGGCTCATTTGGTGGAGTTTTTAAGCGTGTTCGTTTGAATGGTTTGCCCAAACTGAGCTCAGATTACGCAGACGATGAAGGTACTCGGCCAATGCAAGGAGGCCCCAAGCTGCTTGGTGGATAGTTAACAAGCCAGACACCTGTTCTAGGGTCACTTTGCGAAGATGATCTGCCTGTTTTCAGAACCCAATAAGAGAGCAAAGTTAGAAGAATGAATTGATAATTCTATTATACCAAATGGGATGAAGTGCATAGTCATTGATTGGTTGTCTCATTTTTCCTCTAATTTGATGTGCATTTTATACAGTTTTGTTGATGAGAATAGAGAGAAAATCAAACAAAATACCTGATTTACAAACCTCACTAAAGAATCCAAATTTTCCATTGCAGGCCTCATCTGTTGTAGGTGGTAATTCCCTTCACCCAGTAGTCCTGTTGCAACATTGTCAGCCAGAATCTGTTGTAGTCTAAGCAATCCTTGCGATAGAGCGTCTTCTGCCTGCTGGCATGATTGCTGAAGGTTCTGAACATTCTGAAGTTGATCATCTGTCAAGAGCTCAAGATGCTGCGAGACAACCTGCAGGTGAATGTAAATATCAGATTCATATATAATATGATTACTGTTGAAAAACAAAGGGTTATGTCTGTCAATAGGGTTGTGTCTGTTTATGAATAGGTATGTGTCTGTATATATATGTACTATGTTTCTTCATTAGAAACATAGAATTATAGTAATATATTATAATCTTTCAGTATTATATATACATTTTCTCATTCCTTGATTCTTCATCTCTGCCTCCGCCTAACTTACGGGTGGTTGTTATTCTCCATCCGCCAGGCCTTTTGATCTTTCAAATTCAACAATTACTAGCTAGAGTCAAATACTAGTGTGCAATTAATTATGCACTATTGTGGATAAAAAACAGACTCATGTAAAAATAAGGTTGTTGCCTAATGTAGATGTTCAAACTATAATCCAGCTTGGGGCAATTTTATCATGGATACCACAAAGACATACATAAGTAGACATTTCATTACCTTTAGAATCTCTGAAGGACGAAGCCCTCCAATCCATAGGAAAAGACGTTCGGTTGGTGTTTTCCATATGCCCGACATAATGTAGAAGACATCAGCCTTTGCAGCAGTTTCTTTCAACTCAAAAAGATTGACATAGTGGCTCTTGCAACTCTCAACAATAACGCTTAATTCCATTTCACCAACTTGAGAATGCAAAGCATTCCTCAATTTGTCGGTTTGTCTATTTTGCTCTTCCACCCACTCTCTATACTCCTTCTCAAATGCAGTAATGCCTGCAGGTTAATCAAAGAAGGGTCTAACTTCCAGGGTCAACAAAGGAAAAAAGGAAAACCGTCAAACACTGTTGAATCTAATTGGATTACACAAAGCAATGCAATGTGCCAACTGAAGCAAATAAAAAACTCAAAAGGATTTGAAGCTTGAATTGTTGATTTTGAGTTACCATTGTTTATCAATTAAAATAATAATAATTTAAGTCCCTGGGACAAATTCATCCACACTTGTCTCGATTTGAAGTGAAGATGGGAAATAAGCAAGAGCAAGATGGCAAACACGAGGAAGAAGTATATAAATGGCACAATCATGGTGAACACAAGCTTGCAGTTCCAGAATAATATAAACCTACAAACCTGAGTTTGCAGTTCCAGAGTAAACTAGCTGACTAGCATCTAACCCACCATTTGCATTCACGCCCTGTTGCAATAACATTTTTTGGTTGATTAGAAACCAACCTAAACAAAAGCCCGGAAAGTATTGTTCCAGACAACTACAAAAAGATCTAAAAATCCCAGAATTAGAAGGGTAAAAGATTATGATCACCAGTAGTCTTGCCCGATCTAGCTCTTGCTCCAATTGGATCAGTTTCAGTTTACTACTTTCCAACTGCTGAACATAGGCCTATGAAACAAGATAAAGTCTACTATATTATGTCTTGATGAAAATATTTATTTTCTACTACTACAAGTTTGAATAACACAATATTATTAGTTCATCATATCCCAACAATACCTTCTTCCGCAGACGACTTTTACGTGCAGCTTCACGGTTTTGTGCAAGGCGTCTCAAGACCTGTTGACCAAAGAAAGATTTTATCAACAGCTAAAGACAGATTAAGTATTCTGAGGTTTAGTTGAAAAGAATATTAGTATATTACAATAATGAATATTTGATTACATGTTAAGAAGCTAAAAGAAGACAGTATCACCAAACTTTAAAAAATAAAATAAAAAAAACACAAAGTACTCCATATAAAGCTCTTCTAATCACAAGAAATCCAAACTATACATATTGAATAAATTTTTTAGCAACTATTGTGAATGCCAATAATTTTGAAAGAGCATAACACTTATTCATCCAAAACATTTAACAGTATTAAATCTTCCTTATCCTTCATTCACTGTCTAGAAGCTTGTGCACTTAAACCGTTAAAAATTTTTGGAGCTTCTGCTTATTGTCTAGAATAGTAAGCTATGCACTCAAACCTTTTTATCCTCTAAGCATTCAAATACCTAGACTGAGTCTTATTGAGCTTAGTCTTGATTTATCTACACTCACTTTGTAGAACTCTAATTGCATACTTACCCATCTTGTAAAAAAGTATACTCAAGCGAAAATTAAACCATTTTATTCAAGGAAAGTATAATTGATTGGAGAAAAGCAATAGGTTAATCCCTCCATCAATTTTTAGGTTATAAATAGTGAGTGTATCACATTAATGAGTTTTCATAGGAGTTGATTTTGGTTTCCACCAACACTGAAGAGGGCCGGAAGATTGTGGATTACAAAATCTTGAGAAAGGAGACCTTAGATTGTGGATATAGGTCAGGAGGGCAGACCACTATAAAGTATAGTATTTTCTATATCTTGTTCTTTATTGCTTCCAAAATTTCTCATTGTAAATGTATACTATTACTTGATTATTGCATACTTGATATCCATAGCATATCTTGATTGATTTCCCACATTTAATCATCTATAAGTACCTAAAATTAAACCAAATGAGCACAAATTTTAAATATTCTAATTCATCCCCTCTTAAAATTTCAGCACTTCCACAAAAAAAAACAATGCATTTACCTTCTCGGGCGGTTTACTTGCTGCCTCTTCATATTTGTTATAAGGTCTGACTATTCCATGTGAAGCTTCCTCAGTCTAGCCATAACATGATATTGACCAATCCAGTTAGAGGCACATAAAGATTAAAGAATAATACATAAATATGAAATGCAAAGAAACCAATGCATACCTGGTTAAATGTTTTCTCAATAACTGGCATCTGGCAGTCTAGGCTTTTCTCAACTTCTAAAATCATGGTTGCTGAGGCAGTCGAGTAGCCATTACCCTTGAATTCTCCCCACATGCCAAGTTCATGTATTGGATCACATATGCCCATTCTTTTTGAGGCAACAAACTGGGTATATGTTGAATTCATTTTGTATACACTGGGAAGCAGAGTAACTAAGTTAGCCCATACCATGATTCAATGTATTCATGTGATCAAACAAGAAGTAATACTAATTCAATGGAACAATAATGGAGAACTACAAATGTTCAATAAAGTGGCATGTACATTAAGTACAAACGTAATAGACAACAGATTTATCAAATCTCAGAGTACATAGATCCAAAACTTCAGAAACAAGATCCATTTATTTCTGAGAAGAAATCTAAACTTATCACACACAAACACACAGATATATACCATGAAGATCATCAGTTTTGAAAAATGGTTACAAGCAACGTACAGAAAACACTATTATGAGAAAAGTTCTTACATACTGTGTAGCTTACACACATGATTAAGCTGCCAAAATATTATATCTAAGGTCGATACTCGGTAATAGATAATTTAGGACAAGAGAGGACAGATCTGTGGTTCAAAAGAGCTCTTTTCATAATTTCCACAATGGGGAATTTGAATAAGGGGTAACAATTGTATTCTTCTGATGCATTATGTTAATGGTCACTCCAAAGCTAACTGCAGGAATGAAATCAAGCACTGTTCTAAATCAAAGTATATTTACTCAGATCAAATTGAGGGATCTAAGATGATTGTAGAGAAGTAAAGAATCACCCAGCTTGGGAAGGTCTTTTCTTTTCTGCAGAATCAAAAGTACTGAAAACTCAAAACAGCAAAAAAAAAAAAAAAAAAAAAAAGGCAGCCTTTACAAAGAAACTGATGATATTAAACCAGGAATTGGAGAAGGAAATGTCTATATTTGATTAGTCATCAAAAATCCAATTGACCTGCTATAAGCCAATTATGTATATCAAAGTATAGATACATGTGTTCAACTGAACAAATAATCAAGAAGATTAAAGTGGCAAAATGACACAAATAAACAGAATATGTGAATAAAGCACATACAAACTACTCCTGATTGCACTATCCCTTGAATTTACCATTTCAAGCACTTGTAAACAGCCATATAAATACGCATGTTTTCTTAACAAGCAATACAGATAAAGCAAAAAAAAAAGCTCCAAAATTTACACGACAAAAACATCTATTTGTACATGGAACAGAAAAGCGAAGAAAAAGAACGCCAAACTATGTGTAAAGCTCTAAAGCAACAATACTTTCATTCCGCAACGCAACTTATCATCAAAGACTTCCAATCCAAACTCTACAAAACCTTTTTTTCTCCAAACAATACCTTAAAGCCAGTAATAAGCACTTTCCCGCTCAGTTTCTGCTGCTTTGACTAACCCTCCTAACTTAAGCTTAGCCTCCCATTGATGTGGCTTTGAGTTGCAGAGGACAAGAAGAAGAAGAAGAAGAAGAAGAAGAATGTAAACGCTAACGTCTTTTCAGTAATAATTCCATTTAAATCAAATCAAAATTTCATCCAATCAAAATTATACACTATATATAGACAATACGTGCAGGGGTTTGGGTGTGTATATAGAATCACATATATATTAATATTTATATATGCGTATAGAACATGCATATATGCGCGAGTGGTGTGCATCTGTAGATACAGATATCATATACAATTTGGAAGAAGATTAGAATTTAGAATGAGAAATTGGTCACATTTCCACTACCAAATAGCAGACCCACTCACTACCTGTTTGCATATTTGCGCTTCTCCCCACCCCCTACCCCCGCCGTACCCCACCACCCAACCCCCACTTCCCCGGAGGCAAGTCCCCAGGACGATCATTATGATTCCCCGTTCTATGGTTCTTGTTGTGCCAGATACTATGCTTTACTCTTTCCGGAATCTGGAAGCAAATTTTGAACTCCATGTAGTTTCATCAAATTTAGTAACAAAAACCTTTTAATTCAATGTAACATCATTACGAATTACGATAATCGATTGTGTTTCCTTCAATTTTTAAATTTTTTATTCCCTCAACCACCCGGGCCCATATCACGATCCCGTCTCATAGATCATATAAAATAATGTAAATCACTATAATTCAGCAACTCAATAAATAATATTAAATGTTAATGCGCATTTGTCCATTTTGAATATAATTTCAGTGTTACTGCTATTGCATTTCAAATCTTAGTCACTAAACTTCGCTTGGAACAATTTTTTTATTTCCATGAAATAGCTAGGGGAGAGTTCAAGTGATCATGATCACACATAAAAATAAATAAAAACTGATATTATCCATTTATATGACTAAATTAACAAGAATTACTGAAAAATAATGAAAAAAATTAGAAAATTTTATTTTATAAATATTATAAATTTAAAAGTTTGTAATTTTATACTTTTTTCATTAAAACCTTTCGCTATGGACAACTGAAATTAATCCTATTTTTTACTTGAGTACGCAATAAAATTAGTATCACCTAGAAGATGAAAATATTAACAATCCGCGCATATATATATATATATATATATATATATATATATATATATATATATATATAATAAAGTTCAATTGCGGGTGGTGTGTTCAGGTGCGAATGTGGGGGTGAGATGAGATGAGAGTCATTGATCTTGCCAAAATTAATGTCCATGATTAACAAGAATTAAAAAAAAAAAAAAAAAAAACGTGGTGGCAATTTTATCTTTTTGCATCTATGTCAAATTTAAGGTGCGTGATTTTCCTTCTTAATAAGGTGCATGGTTTTTGTGTTGTGGGCTTAAGGTGTGTCAGTTGTTGAAACTTAACAGGGCGTTTGGTTGGAGGGGGGGGGGGGAATTATGTGGGAAAAGAATTGTAATTCCATGGGAGTTGAATTACTGGGAATAAAGTGGGAATTTAAATTCCAGTGTTTGGTTGACAGGAATAGAATTACTGGGAATTTCAATTCCAATGTTTGGTATACATGGAAATTAAAAGGGAATAAGTAGTATAAAGTCAAAAATGTCCATTATTGTTGTTAGACATTAATTTTAGGTTAAAAAGGAAAGGGTAATTTTTACTCATCACTATCTTTTTTCCCAGGAATTAAAATACCAGGGGGGACATGGGATTTTAATTCCATGAAAATGGGGGAATTGCAATTTCATGGAATTGCAATTCCCTCCAACCAAACTACGGAATTTAATGGCCTTTGGAATTAGGTGGGAATTAAGTGGGAAGGGAATTTAAAATCCCTCCAACCAAACGCCCTGTAAGTGCATCGGTCTAAAGCTTTAGGTTGTGATTTTCCTTCTTAAGGTGTGGTTTGTGTGTTTAAGGTGCGTCAGTTGTTGAAACTTAAGTGCGTCGGTCTAAAGCTTTATGTGTGTGGTTTTCCTTCTTAAGGTATGTGGTTTGTGTGCTTAAGGTGCGTCACTTGTTGAAACTTAAGGTGCGTCAATCTAAAGGCTTTAGGTGCGTTGATTTCCTTCTTAAGATGCGTTGTTTTTCCTTCTTGAGTTGTTTTGTTTTCTTTCTTAAGGTGCGTGATTTTCCTGCTTAAAGTGTGTTGTTTTCCTTCTTAAGTTGTTTTGTTTTCCTTCTTAAAGTGCATTGTTTTCCTTCTTAAAGTGTGTTATTTTTCCTTCTTAAGGTGAGTCATTTTTTACAGTCAGCTTCTTTAACTAAGGACACGCTTTATAAACAAAATAAATTTCATTAATTTAATCTGTTAATCTAAATTTGATTAACGGCTCAGATCTAAACCCATTTTTAACCTCATAGCATATATATTGGGCGGACCGCACACAACATTATGTTAATGTATTCACGCGTTTGAGGCGGGTGTAAAAGAGGCGCATGATTTGAGCTTCTGAATTTGAAACAGGGATGAGAGTGTGCGACACGGTTGATAGAAGAGCGTGGAGGTAATGTTTTTGTTCCCTTAACGGTGGGTGTCATTTTCGCGGGAAGTGGAAGGATTGAAGAAAACTGTAATTTGGATGCATCACTGGCGGAATAAGGGTCAAATAGGCCATCGAACTGCACAATAAAACAATTAGGCCATTGAACTTAAAAAACCAACAATTAGGTCCCTAAACTAATCAATTTCAAACAATTCTTCCAATTTGAAGGTTTCCAACAGGTCAACAGGTCATCTCCCAAATTAATTATTTTTTAAAAAAATAAATTTTAAAAATTAATTATTTATAAAATAAATAATAATAATAAAAAAAAAAAAAAAAAAAAAACTGGAATCCAGCCGGAGACGGTGGAAGGATGACCTGTTGACCTGTTGGAAACCTTCAAATTGAAAGAATTATTTGAAATTGATTAGTTTAGGGACCCAATTGTTGGTTTTTTAAGTTCAGTGGCCTAATTGTTTTATTGTGTGCAGTTCGATGGCCTATTTGACCATTATTCCCATCGCTGGCTCGTTTCTTGACTTGCTTTTTCTTTAATGCAACTTCGGTTCAACTTTAATCTTCTTAAATAATTATCAATTTTTTAATTCAGACATATCTTGAAAGAAGGTCAAAATTAGCAAGCTAACTTCTTGTATTGATCATTAAATTATAATTAATTCAAAATGATGGAAGGTAATAATACATCAATCATTTTGTCAATCAATTTATTACTTATAATCATAAAATTTATTTTTCAAATTAACTCGATTCGCAAGGATTATTAATATTATTTAATATCACACTTGATCAATTTTCATTATTAACTATCACAATTGATATACAATAATATATAAATTCTATTATAAATTATTTGTAGGTGCAACTATATTTTATGATAAAATGGTATAAGTAATACTACACTTCATTTTTCTACTCATGGGTGATGTGAGTCATGAGACACACATTGATTGACCCATAAAATAGTGAGCTCACAATATTTTTTCTTTTTCTTCTTATAATGAAATCAAAATATATGATAAAAGTAATACACTCTAAGAATATATATATATATATATATATATATATATATATATATATATATATATATATTATTTCTTGATATTATATGGTGGGAAATATACCCTGGACAATTCGTCGAGCATGTGCTCGGTATGCGCTCCTAGGAGTGCGAGGAACAGTGTCAGTTCCTGATCGAATTCGATCCGGTAAGAGGTCCTACTCGACCAAAGGAGATATGTGAACTTGCCACTGAATGTCATCTCGGTCTCGACCTCGTGGCTTGGTTCGGGCATCGCGACGGGAACACTTCCTATTCTAGAAGATAGGCATGTTGAGAATCGAAACCCATGTCTACTAATTTATTAGGCTGATGACCCTACCAGTGCAGGCAGAACACGTGACGGACATGCCGGATGTCCGACATGTGTTCCTTTCTGTTCCCCTATAAATAAAGCATCTGTTGCAAGGGGGGGGGGGGGGGGGGGGGGGACTTTTGGAGCATTCACTCTCTAAGAACACTTATAGGCTCGGGATCCTCCGACCCTCAGTCTTAAACCACTGCTGGAAATTATGGAATTTACGACCACCTGAAAGTGATCTTAAATCAAGTCGAAAGCAAAAAGTGGTCGAAAATAGCAATAAAAGTTTTTCTGGATACCAAAAGTGGTCGGAACAAGGCTTTCGACTTGATTTAAGATCACTTTCTGGTGGTCGAAAATTCCATAATTTCCAGTAGTGAACTACCCGAGTTATTATATTATAATTTTTACTCGTATCCGTATACCCGAGAGTATTACCTTATCATTATAATTATTAGAAAAGTTTATGGTGTCGATCAGCGTCCGTGCCTATTGCACTATATATATATATATATATATATATATATATATATATATATATTAATTTAAAAATTAGGATTGTATTGAGTATAATAGAAACATTGTGTGGACAAATTTCTCATTGCATTGATATAAATTTCAAAACATTTTGCATTCAATTTTACGTATATCCACTAAAATCAGCATTTGTACTGTTTAATACTTTAAAATTTTCACATAATTATATTTCTATTAAGCTATCACACCTACACCCAAATATATATTATAAAATTTAGCTAAGGTATATAGTCTTCTCATAAGCATGAAAAGACAATATTCCTAAACTAAAGCTGTATACACAGATATATATAAATATAATATTAGTACATTGCTACCTACTTTTTTTTTTCTTAAAATCCTTTTTAGTTTTTTCCTTTGTTAGTAAGCATGGGTAACTTTAAGCTGTTAACGTGGTAGCTTGAGAATGGGATTTTGCATACATATATTTTAAGATTTTAATACACTTTTCTATGTACTTTGTCAGCCTTTAATTTGTTGTTTTGGTCTAAATCCTAAGCCTAATTAACCTTCCCAACTAATGACCTTTCAAGTGTCACAGGGACATTATGGATAAGCTCCACTTTGTAATTTGGTCTCCTCTTCTTATCTTTTACGACACCGAGAGGTCGATGCACTAACGTTAGACACAAATGCTCGCAATATAAGGAAAGTTTGACGTCATCAATACTAATTATTTTTATTTGTACTTGTGATGAATTTGACCCGAAACTTTGACAACAAAAAATAAAATAAAGTAACTTGAATATTTCCTTATGCAACTTTAAAATAATAAAATATTTATTTTGTATATTTAGCTTAAATAAATTTAAAAATATGTCATTTAATCAAGACTTTCCTATAAATTTTAAATGACTTTTACATTATCTCTTTAAAT